GTGTGTGATGGTTTGGGGGTCCACCTGGACCAGTGAGGGGTTCTGTGACTCCTGCCCTGTAACTTGGGTGCTGTGCAACTGGGGTTTGATTCCCTGACCCCCATGGGTTCCTACAGTAAAATAACACAGCATGCAATCAGGTGGTGTAACCACTATTTTGGGCGAGGGGGGGGCGGCTGGACCCTGCCTGTCCAAAGTGGTACTTTTACCTGTCCCAGGATCTGCCACAGAGCCCTGCAACTGGACCCAAATCCACCAGGACCTGACTACAAGTGTCAGGCTGTGAAAAGCGCTGCCACGCTTGCCGGGGGAAGTGTTGGGTTCAGGGCCAGATTGGGCTTTAAAAGTGGGCCCAAGCAGACCTCTGGCCTGCAGTCATCACACACAGCTGGAGCAGTCTCTGGCTAAGCCGTGGGCCCATTTGTGTCCGGCACATCGCAGTAGCCATCTTTTGAAGTTTCAACATTTCCACGGTCTTTCCTCTCTTCCCCTCCCCCACCCCAGGAGCTGCTGCGCTTCCCCAAATTGCATGAAGCGATTGTGGAGGTGGTGACAGGTGTCCTGCGGCAGAGGCTGCCCATCACCAACGAGATGGTAACACCCCAGGGGGAGGGGGCTGCTATGGGACATCTGGGATCCATGCAGGGTAGGGGGCTGATATGGGTGTGGGGGTTGAAGTCTGTGTCCCAGGGCAGATTGATTTAAGTCAGCAAGTGGGAAAATGCACTTTAAAAATCACCAACTTTAATCATATTTTGCATTTGTACTTTTTAGGAAAATAACTTAAAAGGTGGATTCTCACTGGTTGATAACCATTAAACTATGTTAATTTGCAGCTAAATATAGTCTTTACACTAAGTGTGGTGCTTCTTTCTGCAAAGCAGGTGGATACACTAGATCTGTACACGTTTATTTAAACCATTCTGTAGCTGAACCTACATTTATTCAGAGTTTAATTTTCTGATATTAGAAAATGGTGAATGATGCATTTTTATTTACTAGATAATTAATAAAAACAATTAAATGCTGTTTCTGGGCATTTTTAATGGAATTCCAGTTTCCATCCAAATAGAGCTTGACACAAATTACAAGTAAGAAAATTAAATTACCTTAAATGTGCTGGGTCCAGAAGAACAAATGTCAATCAAAACATGTTTTGCATTTAAAACTAACTGATATATTCAACACAGGCCTTTCACCATGTCCTTTGATTGTAAGAGGACAAGATCTACTAGTTGTTTCCCTCTTCCAGTCTGAGATTTTACAAGGATTCCAGCTTGTCCAACGCCCAGTTGGGTTTTGAACTTTGAACAAACTGAAATGAAGGAAGAATTCTCTCTGCTCTTGAAACCTGGTTTAACTTTCAACAAACTTTGGTTCCCAAGGCTGAGCCAGTGACTTCCGCGGTTTGATGTTCTTTAAGATAGCAGCAGCAAACGTACTGCTTTTGATTAAAATCCATTACAATTCTGGCAACTTGTGTTAAGGGCTAAGCTTACAATACTCTCAATATTATTTTAAACAGCTTCACAACAAAAATCACATATATTGTTTTGTTTTCGAAGCTCACATGGTTTTTTGTTTTTAATCCACCATGCTGGGCCCCCTCCCATCCCATCTCTCTCCCCTGCAGGTTCATAATCTGGTTGCAATCGAGCTCGCCTATATCAACACCAAGCACCCGGACTTCATTGACACAGCGCTGGTGTCTGCCTCTGTCAGCAGCAGCAAGGTAATGCCTCTCTGCTCCCCTCCCCCCCCCCCCGCCCCGCTACCGCGCCCCCCCCCCCCCCCCCCCCCCCCTGGGCACCAGTGTCACCCCACCCCCACCCCCACCCCCCTTCATGGGCATGCTGCTGGCCAGCTGGTCTCTGCTCTCCACAGAATGACCCCCCTGCGGAGGGGATCCGGCGTTGGAAGAGTGACAAAGTGGAGGATGCTGGCATGGAGGAGAAGCTCAAGGGGAACGTCCAGCCCCCCATGTATTCCAGCCCCAGTCGCTCCCATGCTGTCAATCTGCTGGACACGGTGAGTTACCCCCTCCCCACACAGGCAAGTGATGGTGGGGTAGTGACAGCAGGAGACCTGTGTCTGGGCCAACCTCGCTGCTCTGGCTCCCTTTGTGCCTTTTCAGAGCTGCTTTGCTTCCAAGATCATCCTGATCATCTAGTCTGACACACACACCCCGCAACACCCACAGGCTAGGGAAAAGCTGGCCAGTGCTGGACAATGCACCACAATCCATTCTTTCACTCTTAACAATTTCTGCCTTATTTCCAGTCTCAATGTTTCAAGCTTCAGCTTCAACCCACCTCCTTGTTGGAGAATTTTCTGACCTTTGCGTGTGATCCCAGCGTTGTGCTACTGGAAATTGCCTGGTTTATAACCTTACTACTGTTATCCCTGGGGGAAGGCCCTGCGTGGTGGGACCCCCATTTCCCTTGAAGTCCTGTGTCCTATCTCTCTTCCCACAGCCCATGCCGGCCACACGGAAGCTGAGCCAGCGGGAGCAGCGGGATTGCGAGGTGATCCGCAGACTCATCAAATCCTATTTCCTCATTGTGCGCAAAAGCATCCAGGACAGGTAAGATGTGGGGGGACGAGGGGGTGAGGCTGCAGTCCCTCTCCTGGACCCTTAAGGGCCACGGGGAGTTGAAAGGGCTCTAGATGGGCACCCTTGTGACCTCTGCCCCTCCTCCACAGCGTCCCCAAGACGGTCATGCATTTCCTGGTGAACTATGTCAAGGACCATCTGCAGAGCCAGCTGGTTGGGCAGCTGTACAAGCAGCAGCTGCTGGACATGCTGCTCACAGAGTCAGAGGACATGGCACAGCAGCGCAAGGAGGCTGCTGGGCTGCTCCAGGTGAGGGGAGGAGTGTGGGGGTCGTCTCTCTGCCCCCTGCCTGTGCTAATGTCTTCTGTCTCCCATCAGGCCTTGCAGCGAGCCAGCCAGACCATCTCTGAGATCCGGGAGACGCAACTCTGGTGAGGGGAGGCTGTGCCTACAAACCAAGCCCTGGGCTCTGCTCTGCTGTCCCAGCTTGGTTCCAGGGGGGCACCCCTACCTGCCCAGAGCCTGCCTGACTTGGTGTCACAAACACCCCTGCTGACCTGTGGGGGTGTCCAGAGAAGCTGAGTGTTTCTACTCCCTGTGTGTGGTGGGGGAGATAGAGGGACAGTGGCAGAGACACCACACACACACCCTCCCCTTGTTCTTTGCTGCCTGTGTATCTGAGCCGCTCCGATGGTGGGTTGGTGTTACGGAATAAAACCCGTTTGTGCAAAGAGCTGGCTTGGATTGTTACCTGGGGTGACACCTGCAGCCTAAAGAATTTCAAGGTGGAAGGGAAGTGATGGGTGCACTGAGTGGCTAATGCAGTATGGGCACCAGCCTGGCTCCCTACTCACAGTCAGCAGCCTACGCTGCCATTTTGTTCTGTCCCTTGGTGCACAGTTGGTAGTTGCGGAGCGTAGATCTCACCCACGACTGGTGCTTCCTCCACCACTGGCAGCTCTCCCTGGAGACCTGGGCTGCCGCTCTGCTCCCGCTGCAGAGGCTGCTTCGCGGCAGGGAAGAGATCTTGTTTTGCTGCATCCAGACTCTACTTCTCAGCCGGGAACCAGTTCAGTGGCGCTGCTTTTCTTGGCCCAAGCCTTGGAGAAAAAAAGCAAGGCATTAACGGCCTCACCTACCATCCCTGACACCTAAGGAAACGCGCCCTACAACAACCTGGGGACACATCATTTCCCTCCCCCGACTTTGGCAAACAGTTGTCCGCGTCAGCATAACCCACAAGCCCAGTCATGGTCCAGGCCTCGTCCAGGGGGCTCCCAACAGAACAGTCTCCAAAATACAACAGTTAGCCAAAATCATACCCTACTGTCCCCAAATTATCCACAGTTAATATGTAAATTAGTCAACAGCCCCTGCTCTCCCCAGTAGATAGCTCCCTTCTTGTCTCACGCGCTTCAGACAGGGCTTCCAGTCCCTTGGAGAAGAGGATGCATGGGGTGTGGGGGTGAGATCAGACTCCACTAGCCCAATGCAGCCCCCCCCCCTGAAGGGGAGATGGGCAGGCCAGCTCCGAGAGACTCCATAGTGTGCCCTAGAAGACCAAGGTCTGTTGGATGATGCATGGGGTGGAGGAGATGGGGGGCGGGGGGGATTTTGGTAGCAACACTTTTGTATGTCAGAATAAAGGATGGGAAATTCCCCCAGCTCTGAGCAATATTCCACTCACGGCAGCACAGCATTGCAACACGTTTCAGGTGGCATCTCGGGCTGAAATGCAGGGATCATAACTATGCAAGAGGGTCTGGTTCGCAGCATGGTCCCTGGTGCCTTAAGAACTGGACCTCCCTCAGCTAGAGGTGGAGGTTGTGGGTCTGATTGGAGAGGAAAGAGTTTATATATATAAACAAATGGAAGAACATGAAAGATTAGTATAAACCAGAACCTAGGAAATGTAGAAAATTGATAAGGGAGGCAAAAGGGCATAAGGAAACAAATCTATGCCCAGTACAGTTAAGGACAACATGAAGACGATTTTTTAAAACGCATATGAGGAACAAAGAGAATCTTAGCAATGGTATTGCTCCATTACTAGATAGAAATGATAGAACTGTCAGTACTAATGCAGAAAAGGCTCTGTATTTAGGAAAAGAAAAGCAGATGATGCAGTCCAGGGCTCACCCTGTGTCAAAATGTTCCAGGAGGCCGTTCCGGTACTTCTGACCATGGTGATACAGCCCCATATGGCCAGGTGTATGTCCCTCTCTGTGTGATGGTAGATGACTGCGGCACGAGACCCACCTCGTCTCCGATAAACCTGGATGTCTCGCAGCGGCTCCAGCTTGGGGGCAAGTGTAGGTGAAGCAGCAGGGCAGAACGACTGCCCACCAACCCCTAGAGGGAGCTGAACAGCAAGAACCGTAAATCCTGGCCAGGAGCTGCAGAGAGACGTTCCCGTTACCATGAACCAGTGCCCTGGAATTGGGACCCAGCCCCATACCCCCTGCTGCAGCAAATGGGGGTTCAGCTGGTTCCTCCTGGATCCCTGCAAACTGGGGTTCACAAGGGACTTTTCTCAACTTCCCCACTGCAAGACCCCTATCACTATCCTCGCATTGCTCCCCCTGCCCCACAGGACCATGCCCCATCCTACCGCTCACACTCCCAGACCTGGGCTGGATCCAGGTGGCAAAGGAGGGTACAGACCCCCCCCCACCAATCTTCCGTGCCCTCCCATGTTTCGTTTCATACCTCCTCACTGCTTCCCCATCCACTCCCCTCTTCAGGCCCCAGCACCCCACCCAGTGTTCAGGTGTCACCAGTGAAAGTGGGACCACCACCCTCTGGTTCTGTGAGCCTCCCCCAGACACTCCCAGGGCACTCACCTGCATCAAGGTCAGTAGCAGCAGCTCCTGGTTGTGCTGCAGCAGGCTCTGGCTCCACTGGGTCAATTATAAGGTATTGAAATTTTGTGTTCTGGAACTTATTTTTTTAGGACTCCGGCACTGATGCAGTCATAGCCTATGATGAAACTCTTTCAGTTCCAATTGTACCTCAGGGGGATGTTAAACAGCAACTACAAAAGTTAGACATTTTTAAATCAGTTGGTGTGGATAACTTGCAGCCAAGAGTTTTGAAAGAGTTGGCCGAGGAAGTTCCAGCACTGTGAAAGAAAGCTAATGGTGTGCTAATATTTTAAAAAAGGTAAATGGGGCAACGTCGGTAATTATAGGTCTAGCAGTCTGACATCAACCCTAAGCAAAATAATGGGGTAACTGACATAGGACATGATTATATAAACAACTAAAGGAGGATAATATAATTAATGCCAATCAATGTGGGTTTCTGGAAAATAGGACCAGTCACACTAGCTTGATTTTTTTTAAATGAGATTACAAAGTTGATTGATAAAGTAATCGTGTTGCTGTCATGTACTTTGGTCTTTGACTTGGTACCACACAACATTTGGATTAAAAAAAATCACCCTAAAACCAGACTGATTGGTTCCAACGGTTTTAGAGGGCAATCTCCTTAGCGTATGCACGACATGCCTCAGGTGGACGTGACCAGGTTTCATCACTGAATTCGGGCTGCTGGTTGGATCGTTCCCTTCCCCGGCTTGGGATGCACAATGTGATAAACGGGGACTCACCTTCAAGTGGGTGTGTTTCTAGTGGGATCCTTCAGGGACTGGTTCTTGGCCTACGCTATTGACCATTTTCATCGATAACCTGGCAGAAAACAAAGTCATCACTGGTACAGGTTGTAGATCACACAAAATGAGCAGAGTGGTAAACGATAAAGAGGACAGGTCACCGATACAGAGTAGCCCAGACCCTTTGGCAAACTGGGTGCAAGCGAATGAGAGGCATTTTAACACAGGTAAATGGAAATGTATCCATCTAGGAACAAAGAACGTTGACCCCCACCTACCGGCTGGGGGACTCGATCCTGTGAAGCAGCGATAGTGAGAAGGCCTTGGGGGGGTGGGGGAGGAAGTGGCTAATCAGCTCCCAGTGTGACAACATAGCCAAAAGAGCTATTGGGATCCTGGGATGTATGACCGGGGAATCAACAAAACAGCGGAAGGCCAGTTTTATGAGAACAGTGCCAGACAAATTCACCAAAACAGATGGACGCTTCACACAGGCCTAATGTGGTGTCCATCTTTAAAAAGGGGGAGCTGGGGAACTATAGACCAACTATAGTCTAGAGAAGAGCAACAAAACTGATCCAAGGGCTAGAAAACATCGACCTATGAGGAAAGATTGAAAAAATTGGGTTTGTTTAGTGAGGAGAAGAGAAGACTGAGAGGGGACAACAGTTTTCAAGTACATAAATGGTTGTTACAAGGAGGAGGGGTAAGACTTGTTCTTAATCGCTGAGGATAGGATAAGAAGCAATGGGTTTACATTGCAGCAAGGGCGGTTTAGGTTGGACATTAGGAAAAACTTCCCAACTGTCAGGGTTGTTAAATTATTTTCTCTGGCCAGAGAGGGCAGGACAAGAGGCAATGGGTTCAAACTACAGCATCGCAGATTTAGATTAAACCTCGGGGAAACTGCCTAATTAAGATCAGTAGGACAGTGGAACAGACACCGAGGGAGGTTGTGGAAGAGCCTTCACTGGAGGTTTTCCAATGGCAGCTGGAGCCAGCTGTCTGGGATGGCTTAGCCCCAACAAAGCTTGCATCTTGGCCGGGGGTTAGACTCCCTGCTAACCCTGTGGCTCTATGAAAACAATACAATAGAGATACTGGAATAATTGAGATGCTTTGGTATGGACACCAGCCCTATGCTTATAGGCCTGTCAAGACACATAGAGACAGATTTACACATCCCTCCCCCTTTAGTTTGCCTTTCTTTCTAGTCACCTGAGCCTGACACTTGTGGGCTCCCCCAGACCAGTAAGGGCTTCTGTCACCACCGCCCCTATAACTGGGGGCCCTTTAATGCTTCTGCGGCTCAGAGCTTTGACAGCAGTAGCCAGCCCACAAGCATAAAAGGGGTCTCCTGACATCACAGGTCCCCTGACGCCCCGACAGGCCAGCCTAGGGTGGCCAGTTCTGGTTGGACGGATTCCTGGAGGTTTCATCACATGACAATCTTTAATTCCTGGAGCCTGCAGACCAGTACTGGCGAGGTGGGAGCACCAGCTGTGTCGATGGGAGAAGCCTGCCCTTCGACAGTGCTGTCTGCACGGGGGCAGTCGCACCGACACCAGGGCCTGGAGACAGCGGCTGTGAATTCCTCTGCTCCCACGCTACCCCCTGCAACCGCTCTCACTCCGCTGCTCAGCTGCAGGTGAGGCGTGAAGCCAACAGCCGGGTTCTCCCTCCAGCTCCCAAACAGCAACAACGATTGAGCCTTGCAGCTTCTACTTGCCACTAACTAGGTGGCCGGAATCTCTTAGGATCTCTGCCCACAGGCGTGAAGTATGGCAGCTCTCACCTCAGCGCTCTTAGTGAGAGAGGAATCAGCAGCTACTTCAAAACCCACCCGAGCGCCCACCGCCCAGAGGAGCAGCCCCAAGAGCGTTCTAGCAGTGGGGAGTCTCTCCCCAAGTCCTTTGCGTCAGTCCAGGGCCTCTCCCCACCTCGGCAAACATCAGTGTGGCCCTGGCTGACCCCATGCTGGGCCGTTGTGCGGGCGGCTCCCAACAGGTCCATCTCAGAGACATGGGCCCCACATACAAACCTTGGGTAGATTATGTCCTCAAACAACCTGCAGGTCAAATGCGATGAGGTGCAGCCCGTTGCTCACTCAGTTACCTC